TTCTTCTTCTTCTTCTTCTTCTTGTAAAGTCTCTGGTTTGTTTCTATTGTCTTGGTGTGCACATAAACTTCTTTGCATTGAAAATTTAGCTGTTGATAAAGAACATCAAATTGCGACAATGAATTGTCCTAGAGAGAAAATAAAAGTTGCTTATTCAGGTAGAGCTCAAGGGATGATTGACAGAAACATTTTGCATTTGCTTATGTCTTTTATGAACTACAACACCGCACTTAAAAATGTTTTAGGCCATAAAATTGCCTTATTAAACATAAAAAATCAATCTTAAACAAAATCATATAAAAAGACAAACCTATTTAGTTACTTCTACTTTTATGGCTCATATAATGCGTGATACTGAAGAAGTTGATGACGTAATTTCACTTTGTTTTATATGTTTCTTTGATGACATCTTTCCTTATTTTATATATTACTTTTTCACACATTGTCATGTCTATTTCATGCCTGGGATTTGATTTTACTCTACAACATCAACAGTATTTACATAACTTCTACATTTTCTTTATACTTGATCGGTGAATACTGTTTGAATTCCTAATGGATGATCTGTGCTTTTCATATGTATTTATTATGGTCTCTGCGTTTCTTATTTGCTGGCAGATGGTTCGTTTATTTATATCTCAATAGCATTAGAAATAGTTTCTGTTGTGTGGTGATAATTGTTTGGTTCTAAAGTCTCTTGTTTCTTTACAAACTACTGCTATCCTTTCAAGTTTATTTTAAATTATGTTTAATTGATTTCTATCGTGTTTCATTTATGTTAAAATTGTCATTACCAAACTAAACCTACAGATATTTCAGTTTTTCCAAGAGTTTTAAATCCTTCATTAAAAAAATTATTAATAGTGAATAAGCTCAAGTGTGGTACCTTGAATTTCTTGAACGTAATTATCTTCATTGTAAACAATGTTTCAAAAATAAATGCCTAAAAGTGTCTGATCCACCTTTATTTATTTTAGTACAAATTATATGACATATAAACACCTTAAAAAGATTTGAGAAAGCGAGAAATATACTAGCAGTCAAACAACATAACTTACAGTGCCGTTTTAAGGCATAGGCACGCGAGGCACGTGCTTAAGTCCCCGCGAAGCAGGGAGAAACACGGCGGCCCAAAAACAAAATTTTGGTGTCGATTATGTTAATAGTTTAGTACTATATTAATAAATTTAACAAAATGACACACATACACATGAAAATGCAATGCAATACTCTACATCTGAGACTGAGAGACTGAGGTGCAATTCTGATTACTTTTAAGATTAGAGTTTGTACATAGAGTCCCCTAGCTTCTTAAAACGGCTCTGATAAGTTAGTATTGAATGTTATACAACGCTTATCTCATTTTAATTAAGACTACAGTTACGTGACAAAGATTGTACAAAAGTAACAGGAAAAGTGTGAAGCCAACAAGCGTTTGTAAAATTTAACAATAATTTATTTCCCTAGAAAAAAAACAAGATAAAAGTGAGGAAAAAAAGACTTACGAGTTATTAATCAAATCCAAAATTAATTCAGAATTTAAAAATATAAGTCCTATCAATATATAGTCCTAAGTGAATCACAGTTGGAATCCCGATGAAATTCCAAGATGGAAGGCGATGACGTCTTCGATAGTCTGATTTGTCCTGGTGTGTCAACAGCTCTTTGTTAAATCACAAATAAATAACATTCCAGTTTAGAATTTCTTCGATGGTTTGCTTGGTACTGATGTGTCAATAGGGTTTTTTTGGTTGAAACACAAAGAAATAATACTCCATTTTAGAATTTCTGAATAAATTTCGATAAATGCCCTTGTCTAAGAATTCTGGTGAGCACTAGTATTTTCTAGGGTAAATAAATTAATAATTTCAAAAAAGTAGAAATATTCAGCTCAAACTGGTCACAAAAATACACCTTTGAGCCTCAAAAGGTTTAAAGCAAAACTAACTGATTCGTATGATAACATGAGTTATAAGCCTGACTAAAACGCAAAATAGATTTCCGAACAGGGGTTAAAAATTTCTTCCCACAAGGTAAACCAAGACTTTGTAATAATAAGCAAATGCAATTTGTCACGTTATTCAGGTATGGCTTTGATAATTCTACATGAAAGTTGTTTACATCAAACTCTATCTGATTTGTGAAACAAGGTGAGCAATTAGCTACAGTGTTTCAAACTACTTGCTGTTATCAGGTAAAACAGAACTGAAATGAATTTATAAACAAATAAAATCCAGTAGATAAAATTATCATTACAATAACATGTAATGGAATAAAATGAAAATAAAAAATCAAAACTAACAAACAAGCAATTAAATTACATATACATAACTATACATTCATCACGAAATGTTACATTAATAGAATTACGGCACATAAAATTTAAAAGTCCAATTGAAGAAACAAAAAGGACCCAAGAAAAAATGGACAAACAAACTTTTATATAGATTCTTTAGTATGATAACGTCTTCAACATTTTTTTGGTGTGTTTCAGTATTATTTCCAAGGAAACTTTAGCTCACTTCGGCCAATGTATTTGACCAATGAAACACTGTCCTCTTCAGAACTGGATAAATCAAGAGAAAACTATTTAATTCAGTGATGAATATAAAAATCGTTGTCACCGTGATCGTTAAGAAATCGTAAAGAAAAATTAAAAAGCTTATGCTAAAACCCCTTTAATACTTTATCTATCATTTTCAAAAGTTTTTCATATTTAATGTTGCCATTCATTGTCGTTAATACTCTGACTCTTGCTGAATAAGCTATTGTATCGTTTTGACTAGTATATTATCATTCTCTAATTTACGCTTTATGACGTTCTCTTTCTTCTCTCCAATTTTTACGGCAGTCAAAGTTTTAATAACTCCAATTTGTATAGTAGTCCTCAAGCAGATCCCACAGTTGTTTGCGACTTTAACTATAACAAGATCTGCAATATCTCTTCCAGTAAAATATGAAAAGCAAAAGTTGTTTTTAATCTCTACTTTTTCCCCATGTCTTTGTTTCCGTTACTTTTTATTTATTTACTTTTTTCTTGTCTATACGTTGTCACTATCATTAGTTTAAAAAATTAAAAGATGATCTTAAATTGCTGTGAAGATATTTAATGTAGATTAATGTTTAAAATAATCTAAATACATAGTTTCACTAATAATTCAAGTTATAAATTAGATAAAACCTAAACGCAAATATAAATGAAAACAGATTTAATTCAAAAGTTTGAAAAGGAATAGGAACTTCACAGAAGAAAAGACATCCACATTTGATTGAACTTGGTAGACAGCTTGGAAAAATGTCATTAGAACTTAGAAAATCGCAGGCAGAAGGATTTAAAGCAGAAAAATAACAACGCCATAAACTGCAGATGGATATTTTTTTAGTTAAAACATGTCGACTTATTAATTGATAGATGGAAATGTATGAATGAATATTGTTTCAGCTCCGAACTTTAAATCATTATCCCATTGCTTCATATCTTCATACATTAAACAATCCCTGATCAAGACCTTCAATCAAACACAAAATATGATGTTAAAATATACCAATAAATGGGAGTGAAAGAGCAAAAGTGAGCAACACAATCTATCGTGGAAAACAGAGTAGCACACTTAGCATTTTTCACAGAGTTTTGTTATGGAGAAGGTTTGAAAGGTTATAACGGGTTTACTAAGTTAATTCGAAATCGATGAAACGGATGATATTTAATATTCTCACTCATATATAACTGTTTACAGTTGATTACTGTACGGTACTTTTGATATTACCTGATAAAATCGAAAGATAAATCAGTCGACAGTCATATATATAAATGGGATACAACATAGATATGCAATCATAAGGCCAATGGTATAAAGTTTAGATGTGAAAGATAGATAACAGAACATTACAAAGTCTCAGACAGAAATATAAATCATCCTATAAAGTTTAAAACTGGAATGCAGTTAGCATGTGTACTGTCTCGTTCGACTGGTATAACAGTTGCTGGTTTAGAAGAATCGTATTCTCTACAGGAATTATTATCCGAAAGATTTTGACTATTGAAAAATAAGCGAAACAAATACGTGCAATTTAATTAATAAATTCACAATGTGTAATAAATAATGATTATTGAAGGGGAAATGAAACTGTTTATCTCTATTTCTTCATATATAGTGTATATATACGTATACATATATATATATATATATATATATATATATATATATATATATATATATATATATATATATATATATATATATATATATATATATACACTATTGTCAATACTGTCGATCATTTACTGGATTTCGTGCAACGGAACTTGCATCTATCGCAAGCGCTTTTAGGGACATGTTGACTAATATTAAAGGTATAAAAAAAACGTGAGATAGTGCATTTGGCAATAAGTAAGTTAGGGTAATATCGGAGACGAAATTATCCATAAAGAAATTATCCATGAAGAATTTGACATCAGAGTAAACAAGCACAATGCATGTAAGCTGTTACAATTCTAGATCTTCACCTATATAACGGAAGTAATGTGAAACCAAGTTTACTAAAATTAACAAATGATATATTTCCCTATAAAACAATGCGAAAATTCAAAAGACACTTACAGTATTGTGAATTAAATATTTATTGACCTTACATGTTCAATCAAAAGACCAAAGGTAATGGACGTTCGGAATCAATTCCAATAAGCTTGAATGTTCTGATGCATGTTCCGAATGAATTCGAGTATCTTTGAATGTCCTTATGTGCCATATTAATACAATCCAGAATGTAAGTGTGAATTTGATTTTTAACTTAGTTTTAACAATTTTTCAGTCATATTGCTACGATGTCTACAGTGTGGCATTTTATAGTGATGTCTAGCACTGGGACATCAAGCCGCAGACATGTAGCATGATGTCCCACCCAGTCACATTATCCTGACACCAGGCTGACCACTCCTATCACAAATGCTTAGCGCTAAGCGATGCAGCTGTTCGTACCATTTTTGTAAGTCTTTAGTATGACTCGGCTGGGGATCGAACCCACAACCTCCCGCATTCGAGGCGGACGCTCTAACAACTAGGCCACCTGAGCGGTCAATCCATAATGTATTGTACGAATTCTCAATAATCCTAAAGAAGTGTTTTAGTGCATTTGACATCAATCAGTATTTTGTAATTACAAAGAATAATTTAAATGCATAATTCCATTCAAGTTATATCTGAACTCAACAATAAATGATTCCATAGACGGATCATACGTAGTAATGAATAATTGTTTACCATATCATAAATATTCTAGTTTCACTTGACTTAACACATGATATAATTTCTTTGCGCGAAAGAAACATATCTTCAACTCAAATCCAAGTAACATCTTAGAATTAAAACAAAAATCATGCAAGCATTACGATTAATCACGGACAAACAATAAGCATTCAGTTTATATATACATTACAAAGCATTTTAAAAAAGCAATTAGACACATTTTACCGAAAACAGGACAGTGCTAACCTAAACAATAAAGAGCTGAAAACATTTTTCTTCCTCATTTTGTGCAGCTTGGGAAAGAAATTGGTAGATTATATTGAAACAAACAGAAGCAGAAAATTTACTGATAAACTTCATAAATACTTATATTTTATAAATTTAATTTTTAATAATGATGGTAAATTAATTTTATTATTACTGAGAATTATTACAGAGAATTAGATTTGTTGCTGCTATTATAATTCTTCCAATGATACGTAAAAGAATATTATTGGGCTGTTTGTTAGAATTAGCGCGATTAGAGAAAGAATCGATAAAAAATGAAAGGAGATTCATGCAAAAACGAATTAATTCATGGATGTGCATCACTTTTTTATTTTAACATTGTATCAGATTTTATAAAATTAAGGAGGAAGGACAAATATGACATTCAAATTTTTTAATTGAGTTAAATATGAAGTATTGCTCTGTGTGTGTGTATGTGCGTATATATATATATATATATATATATATATATATATATATATATATATATATATATATATATATATATATATATATATATATATAAAGGTTATTATATTTTTTTTAAAATCTGAATCTATACATCAGAACTTAATTATGATATATTCAGATTTTGGATTGGATAGAGTTAAACAATAGAGGTTTTGTTTACAAATCAAACTATATTAAAGAATCTAAACATTACCTTTACCGTATAAAAGAAACATATATTTCCTTGAAGAAACGAATGTTCAAGCACCCCAAACAAGAATATCTTACATCTGGATGTAAAGCCAAGGCTGGTTGCAGTATAGGACATTTCTAGTATTTAATTAGACATGGATGTAAAGCCAAGGCTGGTTGCAGTATGGGACATTTCTAGCATTAAATTAGACATGGATGTAAAGCCAAGGCTGGTTGCAGTATGAGACATTTCTAGTATTTAATTAGACATGGATGTAAAGCCAAGCTGGTTGCAGTATGGGACATTTAAAGCATTAAATTAGACATGGATGTAAAGCCACGGCTAGTTGCAGTATGGGACATTTATAGCATTAAATTAGACATGGATGTAAAGCCAAGGCTGGTTGCAGTATGAAACATTTTTAGTATTTAATTAGACATGGATGTAAAGCCAAGGCTGGTTGCAGTATGGGACATTTCTAGCATTAAATTAGACGTGGATGTAAAGCCAAGGCTGGTTGCAGTATAGGACATTTATATCATTAAATTAGACATGGACGTAAAGCCAAGGCTGGTTGCAGTATGGGACATTTATAGCAATAAATTAGACATGGAAATAGAGGCTGCTACAGCTTGATGAACGGTATAACGTTTGCAGGAAGTAATTTTTTGTTACTCCTATTTTTTATCCATATCTTCCTAATTAGTAGGGAATTCGACACGATAAACCACAGGATTAATTCAAACAAAAAACCTGTGTGTGACCATGAAACACCAAAGACACCTAGCTACTTAAATCAAAAGTTGATTAAGCAATATCTTATTGCAAAATCCCTTAATAATTACGACCAAGTTTTTTCAACATTAATCTTCATATTTATCGGGAACCCTAAAACTTGCATTGAGCACGTTGTCTGATCTTGATCAAGAGTCTTATGTAGCAGGAGTCGTTGGTACAACGATTTCTCTAATCTTTAAGGCTTTTATTCTAAACACTGCTAAATTGGCCATCAGAATTTGACTAGTTTCTTTTTCTTTTTTTATAAAAGACCTAAATTTGTCTAAAGTTGAATTTTTATTTACAAAGACGGATGCGTATCTCTCCATATAGCGGACAAGCAGTAACAAAAAGGAATTCATTTTCGAGGTTAACGTTGCAGATTGACACAATCCTTCCTTATACCAAATATTTTCATATCGTACCGTATTACCTCTAATTGGCAGGATCAGAACTCTAAGCATAGTGATTATATAACAAAGATCGATATCTCACAATAATTCTAGATATCTTTGACAAGAAAATTATACACCCAATAACCTATAGAAACGCAGTCTTTCCATCTACTTAATCACTAATCTATCCTACAGTTTTTACCTAAAAACATCTTTACATCTCTGGCATAACAATCTAAGAAACATATTTTCATCATTGACGCCCTGAGTACACCAGATATTGCCAAATTTAAATGTAAATAGATGCCTTTACCATTGTTAGTCCAGCAATCACGATTCTCTCCCGCCCTCACTCTTAACTGTATTATTATTATTATTATTATTATTATTATTATTATTATTATTATTATTATTATTATTATTATTATTATTAACAGCAGCAGTAACAGTACTAGTAGTCTTTAGCATTAATATAAACAATGACAAAGTTTAGAAAATCAATAAGTGTTAAAAGCATCAAAAATGTATATCTTGTACAATATTTAAGCTCATCTTGAACCTTAATAAATAAAACTTAAATGTACTAATTTGCTAGTTAATGTAATGAATGTACCAGACAATTTTTCATATCTTTTTGACTGGAAAGTGTAACGTCATGCTGACAATTTAGTAGTTTTTCCTTTTGGTAGAGTGCAGTTATTCCTTTTGATTATTCCTTTTGGTAGAGAGCAGTTTTTCCTTTTGGTAGAATGCAGTTATTCCTTTTGGTAGAGAGCAGTTTTTCCTTTTGGTAGAGTGCAGTTATTCCTCTTGGTAGAGTGCAGTTATTCCTTTTGGTAGAGTGCAGTTTTTCCTTTTGGTATAGTGCAGTTTTTCCTTTTGGTAGAATGCTCGTTAAAGACAAAACCATTTCATTTGCTGTTGTTGACATTGTAAAAATAATTAAATGACTTCAGCATTGTCATGATGTATTCTGATTTAAGGTTAATAGCGTTTGTTAGAAATAATAGGAACTTCAAATGCTCAAAGTACTGATTTAAAAAGCTATTTACTTTGCAGCATACAAAAAGAAGTATAGAAAACCACTTGAATTCGAGATAATGACACTATACCGTTTTACTCTTTCTCATGATTTGAGGTATTCCATCGATTCAACAAAAGCCTATGAAGAGATGGAAAGTTTTAACTAGGTCAACTAGTTGGAAAATACCTCTTTTCATTATGACACGAATACTTTGGAATCAATGGCATAGAAATGAATACTTTTCTTTTAAAATTACGCCACTATAAAGATATTGTTTTAATTTTCAGCAAATATTGCTCTAAAAAATCGAGGGAACTTACAAAAGCACAATGAATTAACAATAAACTAATTGGTAATACATCTGAAAGATAAAATGAGATTTGTACAAACAAAACAACGTCCTGATGAAATGATGAACTATGTTGCAAATAAGATTTTTTTAAACATAAAAAAAAAGATAACCGAGCTTGATTTTTATTTCGATTGCACTGCTAGCATGCTAAAACAAACGCATAACGTTATAGATTATGAATCAGTTTACTAGATAATAAACACTTCATACAGTAGCATACATAAATAAAGCATAAACTTCATCATGCCATATAATATTTTGTAATTATTTTTCAACTTTGTCAAAATGAAATATGATGAACTATAATGCCTTATCTATATTCATTTAGTATGAAAAATTTAATTTCAATGCAAAATTTTGGTATATAAATTAAGCAATTTAACATTAAAACATGAACAATTTAACCAATGTCACACAATTGTGTGTAGTTTGTTTTAAGTTTTGGGCAAACAAACACATTGTCAATTTATCTGTCCAACCTTTATGTGCAACAAGACCGACAAGTGCTATTATGAGTCCTTGTGAAGGTTTTCTTATCGTCAACCAACCCCTTCTAACAACACCTTTTAGCGAATCACCTTAGACCTATAATTATCTATAAAACTAATTAAAAAGTATTAATAAGAGAATCTGCTCTGAAATTAATCATCTTTTCATCATTATTTGTATTGGATTTCTTATCAAATATAATTTTTGCAAATGCTATGATAATAAGTTGAAATGCATCATAACATGATACGTTATTAATAAAGATGATGTATTTTGCTTTGCTTATAATTCAAGTTACATTTATTATATGCAGAAATATATTTGCAAAGCTAAATGATAATGACCGCATTCTTTGTTTTTGTATCTTTAATTTACCTTGCACAACTTTTACACATTTGACATCAGAGGCCTTCATAATGTTATTTCTTCGCAAACTTACCCTGCAACTTAGTGTAAATACTCAAAAATTCTTATGTCAATCTTTCTCCTGTAAATTATACAGTCACAGTCTTTATATACTGACATTAATATCCATCCAAGATCACTGATGTTCAGCTGTGTTTGTTTTCCTCGATTGATCACTCTTATATTTACGACATTTAATTCTTTGAGTTTTTTGTTGTTGTTGTTGTTGGTTTTTATGATGATGCCTGAATTACACAAAGAATATTTAACTTATTGTTATGCATATTTAATTTAGTTTTTTGTCTGTTAGTTTTAATTTTTTTTATTTCATTCATGTCATTGTAATGTAAGTGTTTGCTTGACTTGACCTTGTCCAAAATTGAGTTCATTTCTGCTTGACCTGGTTGACTTTTTTAATTTGTTTTATTTCATTTATGTCAACAATTAATAATAGCTTCATTCTCTATGTGCACGAGTTCATTAATAAAATTAGTATTCAAGTAAACAAGAAGGCGTAAATATGTTGACCAGGGTCAGGGTTTTGGAGATTCCCAAGTGAATTTTATAGGTTATTGTGTTGTAAATAAACAAGGCTCATTAGATTATTCTAGAAGGTTATTTTCCATTAGGTAATGGTTGTTTTTAGAAAATGCTAATTTGTGACCTGAGGTCAAACAGAGAACTATATTATCTTGTGACAGTGTGACCAGTTTGGGTTGAATTTTATTTTCTTGAAATTATTGAAATTTAAGTGATTATTTTCTCAGGAATACGAAAGTGCTCTGATAAAATTCTTGGATAAGACATTCACTGGAGTTTATACTGAATTCTAACCGGGAATAATATTTCTGTGATTCAACAAAAGACAATTGACAGATTAGTACTTCATAGGCTATAACAGACACGTCATATTTATTCTTTAGTTCTGAATCTCTTTGGGACTTGAACTGAATTTTATTCAGGACTTTTTGTTACTAGGACTTGTGTTTTTAATTCTTGGATTGTTGCTTTTATTTAATTCGCAATACCGAAAGTACTTTTTTTTATCACTTTTCACTTTGTATTCTAGGGGAACAAATTATTTGTGAAATTTTGCTAAGCTTGTTGTCTTCATTCTTTTCTGTTACTAATTTTAAGAGCATGGACTCGTAACACTTATGCTGGTAGTTTTATATTTTACACCAGCACCCTTTTCAGACATAGTGTAAATTTAATAACGTACCCGGCTACATACCTTACCTGGTTACATAATTTATCTGGCTACCTACTTTATCTGGTTACATAATTTACCGGGCTACATAATCTCTTATGAACGATAGACATTTGTTGATCATATAATCACACAATCACTCTGTCTGTCTGTCTGTCTGTCTGTCTGTCTCTGTCTCTGTCTCTCTCTCTCTCTCTCTCTCTCTCTCTCTCTCTCTCTCTCTCTCTCTCTCTCTCTCTCTGTTTTTTATAGTAGCAGAAAGTTTAGGAATTATGTTTTGGGAAAATACTTATATTAGGAGCATCTGCATAGATAGCACAAATTGAAATCTTTTTGCATGCTACGGTTAAAACGTTAAACCAAACAGTGAAAGCTATAAAACTATTTTAAAACAAACAAATTTTGCTAAATTTAGGTTGAATATCGATCCTGAGAGTATTGTGTATGAAACTTCTATCATCGGTTATAAAATCTTTAAAAATTTCATATATTTGTTATAATTATGAATAATATATAATCGATTGAATTCTAAACAAATATAAATCATTATGTTCATTTTTGTGTTATGTTTAATGAATGGCAAATATCATAATAGTTTGAGATATTTATTTCATTTATTTTCAACGGATGCAATTAGCATCATCAAACTTTACGACTATGTGTAAAATAACACTTCTTTTAAATTTTTAAGGAGGGTATCTGGTAGAATAAAAATATTAATTTTAGGCAAATAAATGGTGTTTGTCGAAGGGTGTAAAATGTATATATCATTTTTTAATGAATTATACTTATATATTGGATTTTTTTAGTTATATGATTTATTACACCAAGTGTTTGGTTAAGTAAACAAATAACGTAGATCATACAGCATGCATAATAGAAACAATACATATTCATTGCCACTCACGTTCTCCATGCATACATGCATGTTTCATAATGTATGAATGGGTCATTTATACTTGTTTCATTGAGTTTCATCACATATTAACATTAGCGCGCGCTCACACGCACACACACACGCACATATTCACACACACACACACACACACACACACACACACACACACATATATATATATATATATATATATATATATATATATATATATATATATATATATATATATATATATATATATATATATATATATATATATATATATATATAGATGCAATAAACTGACGACGAACAGTACGAAACTAGTAACTAACTAGCCTAAGCGCTTTCGACTCTTAATAAGTCTTTTTCAAAGGCAAATACAAAACATAGTTACGACAAACAAATAAACACAAAAACGTTGTGTTTGTAAACCTCTACATTTCTATCTTCACATGTGCTAAAACTATAAATACAACCAGCTTGTATAGACTAGTTGCGGAAACTGAAAACGTTGTATAATTCCCTAAAAGTCTACAAGCCAAAGCGACATCTATTTTTACTTTGTGTACATATGTAACGCAGATTATATCCCGGATATTTGATTCTATACCGGTTATTCTTATAGTAAAAATTGAAGGATAATAAGAAGATTTAGAAAATGTTAAATTCTACTAGTGCATAGTTTTCATTTTCTAGTCTACTTGGTTTAGACCGCTTGGTTTCAATGTTCTAAGGCGGCATATCCAGCATGATTCCTTTTCCTTCCTGGTTTCGGAACTCCAGCTGTGGTTGTTAGCAATAGCGATAAGTATTATATCACTGAAAGTGTGGCCAGGGGAGGAGAAGTGTTCTGCGACCGGGCTTCTGTACAGCTTTTTTGTCATCCAATCAGATCTATGAAGGTTTATCCTTATGTGTAGCTTTTCAGTTTCTCCCACGTACTGAAGGCCACAGATCTTACATGTGATGAGATAAATCACATTCTCTGTTTTGCATAAGGATAAACCTTCATAGATCTGATTGGATGACAAAAAAGCTGTACAGAAGCCCGGTCGCAGAACACTTCTCCTCCCCTGGCCACACTTTCAGTGATATAATACTTATCGCTATTGCTAACAACCACAGCTGGAGTTCCGAAACCAGGAAGGAAAAGGAATCATACTGGATACGCCGCCTTAGAACATTGAAACCAAGCGGTCTAAACCAAGAAGACTAGAAAATGAAAACTATGCACTAGTAGAATTTAACATTTTCTAAATCTTCTTATTATCCTTCAATTTTTACTATAAGAATAACCGGTATAGAATCAAATATCCGGGATATAATCTGCGTGACATATGTACACAAAGTAAAAATAGATGTCGCTTTGGCTTGTAGACTTTTAGGGAATTATACAACGTTTTCAGTTTCCGCAACTAGTCTATACAAGCTGGTTGTATTTATAGTTTTAGCACATGTGAAGATAGAAATGTAGAGGTTTACAAACACAACGTTTTTGTGTTTATTTGTTTGTCGTAACTATGTTTTGTATTTGCCTTTGAAAAAGACTCATTAAGAGTCGAAAGCGCTTAGGCTAGTTAGTTACTATATATATATATATATATAACCGTTATTGGACGTTTCAGCACACAAGTTTAGATGCTACCTAATTGTGTGGAAAAAGATGTTATTTTGCAATTTTCATTGATCATACTACTGTAGGATACTTAGAGAAAGAGAGAGCACTTGACTACGTCACTGTAGTTGTTTCACTCATTGTTCACGTCAGTAGTAATATGGGGAGGTGGCCGAGTGGTCTAAAGCGCTCTCCGTTAAAATCACTGCCATCTCACTTCTGTCTGCGTGGGTTCGAGTCTAGGATTCGGCGAATGCGGATATGTGGATGTGTGACAAAGCTTGCCAGTAGCTAGTTTCTCGTAGGTTGGTGGTTCTTTCCGCGGATTTCGCGGTTTCTTCCTCCACCATTAATACTGGCCGCCATGTATAGCCTATCGTGTGCTGAAAAATGGCGAACAACAATCACCCGTAAGTAATTTATCTGATCAAGTTAAAATTACCTTATCCACATAGAAGCATAGATACTCAAGTCTTCTCATTTTACAGGCAGAATTCTTTCCTTGTATGAGTTGAGTTCAGAAGTCGGTCATTTTAGCGAGACGACGCTCAACTTCTTCAGATCAAGTTAAAGTTTTATGCAAACTCTGTCTGAAATGTTGTTATACTTCATTTTTTAATACATTTTTCTTTCTTTATTCTAAAGGATCAGTTCAAATCACTGGGATGCTGGTGGAGCCATATCTAAATAATGTCACCAGACCACCTACTATACAGGTGAGAGAGAGAGAGAGAGAGAGAGAGAGAGAGAGAGAGAGAGAGAGAGAGAGAGAGAGAGAGAGAGAGAGAGAGAGAGAGAGAGAGAGAGACTTATGTAGTAATGCAAAAGCGCAATTGTTGTTTAATATGATCAAGAAAATGTAGGATTAAAAAGGGATGCTATTTAAAATAAGGATATTTATATACCGTATGTGCACTTTGAGAAGATATTTTGCTAGTGATCACAAAACTTTTTCTAATCTCTCAACATACATACGACCACTCCGGTGGTCTAGTGGCTAAAGCGTCCGCCTCGGATGCGGGAAGCCACGGGTTTTGAACCCTGGCCGAGTCATACAAAAAGACTTACAAAAATGGTACCAACAGCATACATAATAGGCGTTCAGCATTAAGATGTTAATATTATGGCTGGTCGGCCTACTGTCATGATACTGTGACTGAGTGGGACATTATGCTATATGTCTGCGGTACAGTGTCCCAATGCTAGAATCACTATAAACTGCAACACCGCCGACATCGTAGCGATATGAATTAAATGTTTTTAAAGCTACGTTAAAAATCCAAACACACGTTCACCATACAGACAGACAGAGAGAAACGTCAATACAATGATCAACATAAATATAGCAATGCCAAAATGCACATATGTGAGCATCTTGTTTGAGCTCCTCTTTTAAAAATAATTTCATTTGACCTATTTACCAATACATTTCTCGAAACAATTGCACATTTCTTAAAGCATGTCTTCGCATTTCAATGAAATTACTTCATTGAATTAGTACTACTTGTCAAATAGATTTATTTATTGGTTAGTTGATGAATATATCTTAAAACTGACTCATATACAGTGGATTAAATCCTGGAGGACTGGTGGATGAATATGTGGATGAAAGGCTGGATTGTTCAGCGAAATAGATAACAGGCATATGTTTTCGTCTATCAGCAGGAACCCGCTGCAAGTGATTGGTGTGTGTGTGTGTGTGTGTTTACAATAAATTAAGATCATAATTTAGAAGTATGAGTGACTTTAAAATATCGTTTCACAATACTGATATTAGGAACTTTGTCTATACCGAATAACATATATAGGAAATTAGTAAAAGAAGAATTACGCATTATGCTATAAAAGCCCTGCTTAGCATTATGTTATCCTTAAACCTTGCAAGGTCGCAAAATGTCGAGTAAAAAGACTCATGTTGTCAACATTTTGTTGAGGATGTTTTGAGTTGGATTGACAAAAATAAACCTTTTTAAACAACTTATATGTAAAGGAGTAAATTTTTCTTTAGATCTCTGTAGAACACATTTATTTGGACACGTGTACAATTAATTAGATTTATGGGGACCTGCGCGCGTTTACATCACCATAATGCACGGACTTGTACACTCTCTGTCTAGCGAGATTTAAATAAGGCTACGTTTGTTTAAACCGAACAGGATGGGGTCAACTTCTGATCTGTATGGAAAACTGTCATTTCTAAACGTTACCATAAATTAGTTGGGTAATAAATGTTTATCAGAAAAACTGCATTGTTTGAGCCTAGTTCAGGCGGAAAAAAAATATTGTATTTTATTTCCATGGGCACGCTGATTTTAGAAGTAAATTCACTCGTAAAATCATCCAGGGGAAACGATTGTCTGGAAAAATTGAGGCACAGTTCTAGAAAGTAAGAGCTTGAAAACACAAGGTGTGATAGCTTCACGAGACATATTAACCTGACGTGACGGGACGTCTCACATATTTACAAACCCAAGGGGCTACACAAAGTTGGAAGGGCCGAAAGTGGCGTGATACCTAAGAATTTGGAAAAGGAAGGAAAAAGTGGAGAAGACCCAGATTTACCGGCACAAAGAAGTACAAAGGAACAGTCACTGTGGAATTGGACATACAAGGCAATGTTTTTCGATCTTTCACTCGATTTGATGATGAATTAATTCTATTGTTTAACAGATCGGCTATTGGTGTAATCATATTTGTATTTAAAATTCTTGTAATAAGTTGATTAAAAAAGAAACAAGTGTATCTTTCAAATTGTAACGCATTATCACATTTGTTTATGAATTCTAGAATTCTAGGCACAGTTCTAGAAAGTAAGAACTTGAAAACACAAGGTGTGATAGCTTCACGAGACATATTAACCTGACGTGACGGGACGTCTCACATATTTACAAACCCAAGGGGCTACACAAAGTTGGAAGGGCCGAAAGTGGCGTGATACCTAAGAATTTGGAAAAGGAAGGAAAAAGTGGAGAAGACCCAGATTTACCGACACAAAGAAGTCCAAAGGAACAGTCACTGTGGAATCGGACATACAAGGCAGTGTTTTTCGATCTTTCACTCGATTTGATGATGAATTAATTCTATTGTTTAACAGATCGGCTATTGGTGTAATCATATTTGTATTTAAAATTTTTGTAATAAGTTGATTAAAAAAGAAACAAGTGTATCTTTCAAATTGTAACGCATTATCACATTTGTTTATGAATTTTGTTTTGAATTTTGATTAAATTTTGTCTTTTTTTGTAACGGAGGCTCGTGTTATTCTGTTCTATATATCCGCTCAGATCTTTATTTATTCTACCCATAATTTTCACTCTTTATATTGATATTTACTCGTTCCGTGCAAATTACACCGTCGGCAATCACCTCTAGATAACGATAACCTAAACCAGGCAGCCCACCCCAACAAAGTTGAGGATGGGTATTCCGACATTTTAGAAATATAGAACAATTTTGATTTTGTTTATTACTACAAAATGATGGCATTTAGATGGCAGAAAAATAATTAAAAAAAATAAACATAATATCTGAAAGAGTTTTAGTCAAACAGATGCTAAGGAATCGGAACAAGCAACCAAAGTCAGCTGAAGCTGAAAATCAGGAAGCCAAACGGGCAACAAAGATTACTAAACAGTCCACTTTAAATACTAAAATTATGGAAATAGCTACAAAATCATTTAATTAAACAAGCTGCAAAGGATCCAGGGTATCTATTCGATTAACAATAAAGATTGAGAAGGGAAAAAATAATTCAATGGACACCATATAAGTAAAAACGTTGGAAAGCGAATTAAGTCAGACAGGTATCTTAGACAGTAAAACGAATTAAACCAGCTATTCCATCTGGGTCTCATATACTACTACTACTAATAATAATAATAATAATAATTATTATTATTATTATGTAAAAAAGTCTGTCTTCTTTAGATGTTTTCCATCATAACCTTCTTCTCGTGCCTAATTACGAGAAGGAAGAAAGTTCAGCATTCTTAAGAATAAGGTGTCACTTATGATGGTGTAGATACGGTTACATCTTTTTGTGTGGAAAGCTTTGGCTACGAGAAGGTACCAAGATCCTGAAATCGCACTTTATATATATACCCAGCTAACAATTCCACGTTGCAACAAGGTTGCAGCAATGTTGCAGTAAGGTTGTGGCAACGTTGTCATATAACGTTGTGGCAACGTGATTTGGTGAACTAGCAGGAACGTTGCTACAACGTTGTTGTTTAACGTTATAAAATAACCTTCCTACAAGATTTTCACAACATTGCAAATCGATATGGAAATCATATGAAAGCTGGTTGTGTTTCTGAAACTCACATTCCCCACTGCTGGCAAGAATGTCCAAATCGAAAACACTGCAAAAATGTGAACATTGCCATCCATCTAGGAGTTGCAATAGCAGGAATTTCAAGACTGCCATTGTCACCTATCAGAGGCAGTTCTGAACCGACTTTATGTTCGACAAACCAAACATCACCAGTCATTTGACAACAACAACAACAACAATAATAATAATAATAATAAAAATAATAATAATAATAAAACCTATCAGCTGTAGATTCTGCACCAACTTTATATTCGACAAACCAAACATCACCAGTTATTTGACAATAATAACAAAAATAATAATAATAATAATAATAATAATAATAAAACTATCAGCTGTAGGGTATGCACCAACTTTATATTCGACAAATCAAACATCACCAGTTATTTGACAATAATAATAATTAAAATAATAATAATATGGTAAGGTACACTAATTGTTCCAACATTGTACGAATTGGCACTCTGCATGCAATGATATGTGTCAGCTATCAAAAATTAGTTTGAAGTAGCACATATAAAAATGCACTATGCACAATATAGTGTAGAATTTTTATTTATCTGTACATATACTGAAAAAGAATAATAAAATTAGGAACAATACATATTATATAATATGTCCATACTGAAGTATGCAATCAGTTTCAGTGCAAGTGTGAAGGTTTTCTAACATGGTTTATATACAAACATTGCTTTTTGTTTATAGTATCAAATCCTCTTGCTGGGTACTTTTCCTATCAAGCTTTACAGCAGGACCTACCCCAATGGGGATAATTAATTTTTTAAAAAGTAGACGGTTAAATCACACGACTTTTGCCTGATAAGGAATAACCCTGAATTTACACACTGAAGGTTCAGACAGTAGTTTTTAAGAGACAAAAATGAAAAAAGAAACAATACAATATACATTTTAATATCACTTTTTGTTTATTTTCAAGATTTAATTAAGATTAGGAATCAGAATCAGTCTCCTCCTCCACTCTAAAGTTTATGTTTCTTCTCCTCAGGTACCTGCGAATTAAAAAATAATTTTAATGCTTAAACAAAGTCAAATATCATCTTAGCAATGCTTACATATTTAAAAGTCACATTAACCAGCGTTAAGGATTATCCATAAAGGATGTCTGCACAGATGGAGGGAAGGCTTGGTCAAATGCAGACAAGGGGGAGGGGGGTAAAGGACCTTGGGGATGTCAGCAAGCTAGTATATTCTGTTATGGTATTATGTGTTGAACAGCTGCTTTAGGCTTACTGCTTGTATTACAGTACGTTTTGTAGACATCCTTTATGGATGATCCTTAAGTATCAATTATTTGTAAATTTCAACTTGTACGATTCGTGCCACAGCATATACAGCATATACACAGGTCATTGGTTTATTTTAATGCATATTTTAGGGTCTTCTATATGACCTCTTCAATTTCATTATTTTTTGCTTTGCCATTATTTTTCAAGCAGGATTCTGCAAGAGTAACACAATGTTTTAAAAGGAGTTTCACAACAAAGGACACATTTATTTATTCTAAATACCAGCAATAATTAATGGAGTATTTATAAAACAGACTTTGAAATTTGGTCTCAAGTTACTTCAAATACAAGTAATTGCAGTATATGTGTGTGAAGAAACATGTAATTTATCCATTCATTTACAAATCTCTGGCAAGTCACATGAAAAACAGACAACTGAAAATCAAGTCATACATACTTATCAAAAGCCAGCA